TTCCAACCCTTACCATTCTATGCTTCTATAATTCTATGATCTGTCTCCATCAAGGTAATTTGGTTTCAGCCTGTTGAAAACAACTGCCAAAACCTGGTTGTATTAAATCATTACCAGAAGTAAAAAAAAAAAAAAAAGCCAATAGCACTATAATTCCAGAAATGACGTAATCACATTTCTTTGAATAATGTATAATCTGGAGGAAAAAGAACATACCTGAGGCAGTGGTTTCTTCTCAACACAGTTTATACCTCCAACAAAGACCATATTGGGCATCACTGGTCTGGCATACTCAAACACAAAGTCAAATCTCAGAAGCCAAAGGGAAGCAGAGTTCAGGAGGTCCAGCAGGGACACATCTCGCTGAAGAACTTCGGAGGAAAACTTTACTGCATCTCTGTAGTAACTATCACAGTACCAAAGCTCTAGGAAGGAAACTAGTGCATTTTCCACTCTCTGGAAGAAAGTCATGCGGTCCGAGTTGAAGGTAAATGTTCTCGGGGCATAGGACAGAGGGTCTGGGCACTGCGATGCTTTATAGTGTAAGTCACAAGGAAGTCCTCTCAGGAAGAACACAAATGGAACAGACAGATAATTAGCAACTGTCACTCCGCACATAAAAATGGGGTCTGTTATGACAGCATCGAAGCCACTCTGGTTCAAGAACTGCAGGGTCTCCTTGCTTTTGAACAGGTCCTTGCACTGAGCATAGAACACACGGAAAACGTGCACTGACCTGTCGTATAGTGATAGAGCGTTCAGCGGGAAAGGCAGGTCCTTCAGGTGAGCGGCAACATACTCCTGAAAGGGATCATTCAGGTCTTGTAATGTGTTAGACACTGGATATGTTTTCACCGTGTACGCCTGCGTCATCTTCATCTCCCAGCGAACAGGTCCTTGCACTGAGCATAGAACACACGGAAAACGTGCACTGACCTGTCGTATAGTGATAGAGCGTTCAGCGGGAAAGGCAGGTCCTTCAGGTGAGCGGCAACATACTCCTGAAAGGGATCATTCAGGTCTTGTAATGTGTTAGACACTGGATATGTTTTCACCGTGTACGCCTGCGTCATCTTCATCTCCCAGCTAACTTCTGGTGCAAGCACCACCACTTCGTGTCCTTTTTCGACGAGCTTTTCAACAACTTGCTGCATGCTAAGCCAGTGGCTTCCTACCATGGGCACCACCAGGAGCTTCCCTCCATCTGAGAGGCCAGGAAGGAGGAGGATAAAAATCCAGGCACAGCAAAGCTGCAAAGTCATATTCCTGTGGTGAGGTTATGGACTGTGAAAGTCTTCTCCTTCAGGCTGCAGCTTGAAAATGCTTTTGAAGGAAGCTGACGGGTTTATCTGTTGATTTGTGCTGCTTTGGCATTATCTTCTAGTTAATAATTTACTGCTCTGGGTTGTGGTTTGTGTGGGTGTTTTTTTTTTTCATTATTTGTAGAGCCAAATGCAGTGACCTTTTCCCACAATGAGTCATTGGAGTTCCTCGGCGTTCAATGGAGAATTAGCTCCTCAACATGCTAGTCAGATTTCTTAGGACTTCTCTCTCGATCGTTGACATGTCCTGTCCTGATGCCTTGGCCAGGACTAAGGAAGGCAAGTCTGGTGTGAAAAAGTCCAACACCACAGTAACAAATGAAAACAGCCTCAACAAATTTCGTTGTGGTTGGAGATATGGGTGTGCAGATAATTTCTCTGAGGACAGAACAGGAGGCCCTCAGGATAAAGGGAAAGGGCAGATGAACCAACTCTTCTGAGCTAGCAGGAGTCTCCACAGTCTACAGACATCAAGAAGAGACACTGAGAGAGGCTGACCAGGCAGCTGAGGGCAGAGATCTGTGAGCTGAAGCCCAGCTTCTTGCTTCAGAGCAGTAACGCAGTTGTTTCACAGCCTACAAGACAGCCCTAAGGCAGCTGAAAACTCCTCATCACTTGCCTATACATCGAGTAGAGGCCAGACATAAGACACGTACTAAATGTGTTTTAAGGACTACTACTCCCTGTATGGCTTGGACTGTTCGGTTTAGACTTGGGTGTGAGCTCAGGTTTCAGCCCTGACTTAGCTAACAAGCAGCTTCAGCCCAAGTGTGGGTTCTTAAGAGCCATCGGCTTTACAGCATTGCTTGTGATGTTGTCGATGCAGAAAAGATTAGATGCCCAAATAGCACCGTGCCTTGGAAAAATAATGCCACCTAGGACACTTAGAGCCATGGAGCCTCTGTCCCTCAGGCACACAAGTTCTTTTTTGTCCCTTCCACACCATGCTCAATGCAACAAAATTCACTGTGTATTGTTTTCTCCATGTTTTCCTATCAGTCTTTATATTTCTTTTCCCCATTTTACAATGTCTGTAACTTTGCCTTGTGTAGAGAAACTACCAAAGAAAGTGGCAGAGAGCAGTTTTCTTTCAGGGTAACTTTTCAGAAAACAAAATATTTGAGCTTCAGAGTAGGAGGAGAAGGTCTGAGGTAAAAGTGAAAAAAAGACTCTCAGAATCTTTTATGTTATTATAAACTGTAAGGAAAAAAAATACGAATAATAACTAATCATTGGCAAGATGACCAGTTTAGCAAACAGCATCTTCTCACAAAAAAAAGGTTAATTTGTACATTTTGTAACTCCCCCCCCCCCCCGCCCCATTTGCTGAAGAGGGGTAAGCAGAGAACTGGTAGGGACATGTCCTGCCCTCCCCTCCCTTCCCACCAGGACAGTTTGGCAGCCAAACCTCGCAGCACTCCTGACATGAAGAGAGTGCCTGCAAAGGCAAGCCCAGGGCAGGTGAAGTTAATCAGTACCTTAGAGGAGATTCTGAGTGTTTGACAGTTTGCCAGCAACTCCCTCTGTTGGCTTGGTTACCCTGGCAAGGGTTTCGTGATGAGGTTCAACTTCGCTGGATTCACGGGAGCAGGGGATAAGAGTTGCTTGCTGCTCACACGTTGTCACCAGTGAAAGAAGGCAATCGGACCTCGAAATTTGGGTAAGAAGCCGCATAGATGGGGGATGCCGGTTGTGTATATATTGTGAGCAAGACAAAATTTAGGAGGGGGAGGAGGGCTGTGCTGGACGGCCACAGCGGAAAGGAGGGGTGGTGGGTCAGCACAAGCGCTGCCTGCGGCCCTGTGGCCCCGACCACCGCGGGACACAGTGAGTGAAGAATACAGGAATGTGGTCAGAGCGTGCAGGGATGTGACAAGGAAGGCCAAGGCCCACCTGGAATTGAAGCTGGAAGGGGATGTCAAAAACAACAAGAAGGGCGTCTTCAACTACATCAGCAGCAAAAGGAAGGCTAGGGACAATGTGGGGCCGCTGCTGGAAGAGGGGGGTGT